TTGTGCCCAATAATGCATAATTTCATTTGATAAACACGTTTAGATTGAATGGTAATTTATAATCAGTCACAAGAACGTCGAATCTGAATCACTTGAAAAAAACACGGGGGTGCTTAACTTTTTTCCAGGTGTATATATATGTATATATCAACAACTTTTAATAAAACTGTTTTCAGAAAAGGTAGATATTGGCTTTTTCTGTTATAATTATAAAAGTTGAAAACGTTTTTAGCTAAAAACGTATTTTAAGCCATTTATTGCGAATTTTATTCATATCGTGTTTGGGATACTTGAGCAAAGCTATATAAGGATTATTTGTACTAGTTCTTTTTTTTTCTTCTAATAATGAACTGACAGATTAGAGGGAAAGCAATTAGTCAACAACAAGAACCATCGACAACTTTCGGGCTATTCTGTTCGAATAATGAGATTTAACCGTCACTTTTATCACCCACGAACGCAAAAAGCGAAACCCGATTTTGTGGCAACAGGAAACGAGTCATAAACACTTGGATTCAAATTCCAGCTAGCTGACCACTGATACACACTATTTAAAAAACAAAACAGAACTACGTTGTTTATACTGTTACTCAAAATCATTAACTAGAATACAATCTGATTATTTATTAACCATTGCATGGCGTCTATATTCAGTGCTAAGTGTTGAAGTAGAAATGTTCCAAACATGTTTAATAAACTCATCATTTATGAAACAACATGGTGATCCTTCACATCGAAGAGAAAGAAAATTTTAATGTAATGTTTTATCTCTAATGAGGATTTACCAGGTATACTTAAGTCCAACAGAAATTATTATAAATTAACAATTTTGATCAAAGAATTCGGGCAAATAAAACTGAAACACACAAAGAAAAAATATGGTGATTTGTAAAGGGGATTATCAAATGATCACTGGAATATTAAGACCCCTTTTAATTTACTTTCCTATACGAAAACAAATTACAAATAATTTTTTGAAATTGGAGATCATTGTGAACAGTCTTTCTTTTTTGATAGATAATTAATATAATATCATAAAAACAGCCCAAGAAGGTAGGTTTGAAGTGTGAGATTGTGAGGCTTGTTGGTGAATACATGTGGCGAACCTTTAAATGTTAACTTACATAGTTTCAGGTGGTGTCACGAACCACTTTTTAAGTGAGAGCTGACTAAAAAGCTTCATAACTAGTTTTTATGAAATACTTAAATCTTCTTGTCAATAGTTTGATAATGTTAATAGTTAGTTCAAACCAAGCTAGGTAAATATAACATAGTCCGGTTTTCAAAAAAGAATGCATTGGTTTGGCCACCTGAAACAAAAAAAAATTAAATCCCTAGGTTTAAACTTGAAACCTCTTTAGGTATTTCTGTATAATTATTGTCATTTTATTTACTGGATAGACTTAACAGCATATTTATTTGATTAAAGCTTGAAAATCTAATTATTATAAAAAGATGTGAAATGTTGAATAGACACTGACTAGTGATACTTGATAGTGGCATGTTTTTTGGATTACAACCTCTATAAATGATTCCTCTTTTCTATTCAGCCAGATTTATATCTTACTAATTCAGAGACGTAATTGGCCAAGTCAAAGGTAAATTCATTATTCAAATAACAACCAACTTGAGAATATTTCCTGTGAACTATATACTATCAAACAGGGAATAGTTTGCTTCATTATTCCCGACTAAACCCTGTAAATACCCTGTGGACATAACACACATGATCTTGAGAGGCTACTTGAATTTCTTCTGTAAGTAGCTCTCCTTCGGCTCAGCGATAAGCATGAGGAATTATTAAATCTAAAATTCAAGGTTCGATCTTTGCAGTGGGTAAAACGTGTGCAGCTTTGCAGTTAAAACAAACAAACTTCTAAAATGCTATTATGCCGACATATTTCGAAAAGATAATTGTAAGACTCTCTAAACAAGAAAAAATAGTATTGAATCTTTAAATTGAAATGAAAAAACCTTCCAAAAAACTCAGTAAAATGAGAGAAGATTATTAAGTATGTTTTCAGCAATTTCTACATAACTGAGAATTCATATAAAAGTTACATTTAAAGTTTAGTGGAAGATGTAATCTTCAAGAATATAATTGTAATCTCACCTCTCCATTCGACCACATTAACTTCTCTGGTACATTATTATCTTCCTCTTCAGTCTTGTGATTGTTGACAGATTGTGATGCTTGTGTTTCATTTTTTCCTCCTGTAGACGATTTGTTTGTAATGGAAGTTGTACTCATAACTTTAGAAAAAAGAAGATAATATAATAATAAAGATAACAGCAGTTATGAAATTTTGAAACTATCAACATGCTAACTTTACGTATGTCCAGATTTTAGTGAATCAAAATTTAAAATTTATAAAAGTTCTGTTGTGGCTGCTGTGACAAATAAATCTATAGTGAAGCCTTTAGTAATTTTAAGTCATAAGTTAGCATATTATTATTATAGTACTTTAATTCTTGGAATACAAATGGTAAAACATCCATTTGCACTCAATATTAGAAACATCAGACTCTGAATGAAACATCTAATTACACCATGTTATGGAAAAATGTACAAAAGTATTCCATGAGAGTCTTGCGAAGGAAAACACCCATCACAAAAATAAACCCGATACCTTAATTTGTGAGTTTTTTTTTGTGTTTGTTTAATGTCGTCAAAATGAACACTGACAACAAATTATAAAAATTAATGTAAAAATTATTCTAGGGTAGTTATACAAATCAAAACACAAAATACAGTGCTCTACAAATATACCCCATGTTTGGCATCGTAACTTTGAAAAAATAGTCATGTACAAGAGAAAGCAAATCAATTCTAAGTCATACAAATTATACAATTGAACACGATTTATTCTCCAATACTTCAAGAACAAAAGGGGGGACTAAATGCTAATTGCTCGACTGACAGAGCGGACTATTGGATTATGACAGAGTAACAGAAGAAATAAGTTTAATTTAAAGGTTAAGTAAAATTAACTCACATGATTATCAGAAGAGGTGGATAAAATATCAAGACATGGACAAACCTTCAACAGCAGAATAGAAAGTAGTCCTCAAAGGTAAAAATGAATCGATTGAAAGTGCAAAAATATTCAATCACGAAGTACATTCTACCTGCATCTAACTAATCATAAGACAGAAACCAAAGAAGAGAAGTATGCCTGTTCCATGTGACAGTTTCCATGGTATTTCCTCCCATACAAGGTCTAGTTGGACTTAATGCAACTATCCCATAAAACAGCAGAAGAGTTCTTTTACTGGTTAAGCTACAAAAATTAACATCTTGGGCTAAATTTTGCACACAAGTGTTCAAAAACGTATAACTTAAAAATATTTCAGAATTTTATACGTAAGAAATACACACTATAGAAGAGTAAGGTTTGTAATATTTACATACTACAACTATCCAAGTCACAGACACCAACTGTAAAGAATCCGACCCCTATAAAACCAGACACTTTCTAATTTTTAGCATGACCCTCCCACCTTTCACAGGGCCAATCCATCCAAATTAAGAAATGGTGATCTGGTGATATGCAGGCATATCATATGTTTTCTACCTGTTTATATATATGGTAATTTCATTGTTTGTTGTTGTTTTTTATTTTCGTTTATTTAGTTTTTATGTAGCTTTAGTCTAAACACGTGGTATAGAAAGTTGGGGTGCGATATTCTATTAAGCTTTTTGTGGTAAGGGGACGCGAGCATTGGCTTTGCATATCCACTGTCCAGCACGCTAATTATTAGATTAAGCTAAATTTGTTCTCTGAATCAGAAGAAGCATTAAGTATTTTAAACTTTAAAAATGCTTGAAATATCATAACACCACCACCACAAAGCGTGGATTTTAATAGTAATAATATAAAACACGTGTAATTACAAAAATAAAGGTCCTTTAGGTTTAACTTAATTTTAATATAATTTTCTTTGCTTGAATTTTGGAGTTAGTCATTTTCTCACTTGTGACTATCAAGCTGTGACTATTATTGTAATTCACAAAATAAAAGCATTTTAATTAAGTAATAATATGTTTGTTTGTGTTTGCTTATTTGTAGTCAAGCACAAAGCAACACAATGGGCTATCTGTGCTGTCCCCACCATGGGTATCGAAACCCGGTTTTTAGCGTTATAAGTCACCAGACTTACCGATTTTGCATACGTCATCCTTTAATGAACCAATACAGATTATTAATTATTATTAAGCAGAGCGTGTGTATACAGGGCTAGTGTTTTGACTACACTTTTTTCTGTTGAATACCACTGTCAACGAAACGTTTTTATCAGTTATCAAGCCAGTTGAGCAAAAATACCAAAGGATCTAGTTCTAGTCCTATTCTGAATTTTCTATTGTCCTCAGTGACATGAAGTAATGTTTTTTTCAGCTTCAGTTTAGACACCATGTAAGCTAATATCTAATTTATGACTAATATTTACAGTACTTAAAATAAGACTACAAGGATTCAGAGAGCAGACTGTAATATTCATTTAATAAAATGTTCTGCGTGTGATTTCAGTTACTTCTATAATCTATATACTTTTCTATGGTAACTGTTTTTTGATGTTCACTTCATGGCATTTATCGCGGGAGCTATTCATCATTACCAAAATAAAAGTAACGGATAATAATATTTCGAGTTCCAATTTAGTGCATAAAGTGATAAATTCATGTATTTGATAGGGAAATAGGATTTGAAATTTTCATATATGCTTTAAATTATTTTCTTATATAGTATTTGAACCTTAAAGCATCGTTTCCCAAGGGGACATAAATAATCTCTTGGGAGCGCGAGCGATTGAGGTAGAATCAATAGTGCAATAATGCAAAATTAAGCCTTTTCATATATTTTTATTAATTTTATTAATTATTATTAACTACACAACATATAGTATTTTAATGTGCATCCGTGTATTATATCTCGTCACTTAACTCACTTTTTCAATCATTTAAAAACAAAAGTGGCGAAAAAAATAAATCTATTAAAGGGCGGACATGAATGACAAAAGCTTGGGAAACGCTACCTTAAAGAATAAGGGTATACCATTAATCTTATTATTGTTAGTGTTATATTACAGTAGAATATAGGTTTGTTCCAAGAAAATGCAGTGTTTATCATTCAAGATATATGTTTTAAGTTGTTTGGTGCGACAGATAGGTTTGCCAATATATGTATAAATATATAACAACTTTACTAACTTTATTTCTTACGAGTCCCCCAATGGCTCAGTAATATGTTAACAGATTTACAATGCTAAAATCTAAGGTTTCATTCCCAGTGGTCAGCATATCGTGTAGCTTTGCGCTATACGAAAAATAAAATAATACATCAAAAATTGACACATTTGGTCGTTTAGCTCAATGGACCTGATAAGCTCTGGACCATAAAAACCTATCGACAACAACTTGTAGCAGATTGTTGGAAACTTAGTTTTTAGTAGTATATATAGTCATGTAATTGTATGGGCGTGTTGGACTAAGGATTCTTCTACAGTAGGTGTTTGTGACTTATTGGCGATAAATTTGACAATAACAAACAGCAGGCACTCCACTTGTTTAAAATAATATATATATATATATTCAAAACAAGTTAAACGTATGTACAAAATTATTTACACTATGGGGATCATAGTTGTATCTTAAGTACTGTACAGTCTCTCTTCTTGTCAAAAGTCCACTTAGGCCTATTCAATTGCTTTACAATTCAGTTGACAAGCCGAATTTCTTTTTTCCGAATTCTCTATTTTTATCGCAATAGTATCCGTGTACAATTCACCTACGCTGTCATGTGAGTTACCGCATTTGCATCCTGAACTTTAAATAATCGTCTTCTTTTCGTACTTCCAATAATCGTCTGCCTTTTGTCAAAGTCCAAACAGACGAGTTCAATTAGTTTAGAACACCCTTTGACAAGACAAATTATTCTCCTTATCTCTTTCAAACTGTTAATCTCACTTTAACATATCAACCGTTAGGCCATTCACTTCCATGACGGTTAACTTTACGTTTTCTAACTTTTCTCTGACTGAAGTTCTCTTTCACGTTACTTTACTTTTACTCTCTTTCCACTCGTCTGGTTGCAGCTATTTATACGTCTAGCACTTAGGCCTTCTAGAAATCTACATAGCCTCGACATCAATGAATTACAAACACAAAATAAATTAATTAATAATGCTACCTACACTAAATAGCATTTTATATTTGACACACATAATGACTGGAGGAATCGCTATTAACATATTTTTCAACTGCAACCAGCGTTATACCACCCAAGGCTGAAGTATTTAAAAGGACATAGCCTAATAACAACAGCTTTGTTGTTAAGCGCCATTTAACTTGGAGAAGTCACGAGCTCACAGAAACCCTGGATATTTTTTGCGTGTAGATCTAATACGTTACATGTCTCTTTTTTTTTTGGCAACTAGATCTAAACACATTTATATTATGTACATTTTAAACCCAATTTTATGTATTTTACTCGTGAAAAGTGTTTTGTATATTACACTTCATATTTAGGAAGGCCAACGCGATTTCTAATAAGAACAAAGCATTAATAATATGTTAAGTATTTTTGTTATTTACCGTCCCCGAGGTGTGTGCGGGGGAGGGGAGCACGCATTCATTGAACAGTTCTGTATCCAGCCCATCTGAGAAATAGTATTTTAAGTTCTCTATAGTGTGGCTTCCACTGCCTCCAAAACTAACTTTTTGCTAGCCTTATACCTCTCCCTTTCCTACAAAATAAACGAAACCTATAAACATCACCGCAAAAACAAATGGATACTTGGTAGTAGTTTAGGCTGGAAACCAAAGTTGTTCCAGTGAGTTGACATGCTCCGTTTGTGCTGTAATTTCTGTCGTGCTGACCATTCATGCTTTTGGCAAGAAATCTGCACGGACTCCCTCACAAATATTAGAAGACAAAATTATTTTCACATCCTATGATTAAAATACTATTAACTTATTCTCCTGTGATAATTTAACTGGTGTTGACTAATAATCAGGTATACACTAGATGTCGACAACGTTAATTGGCCAAATGGTTAGTGATTTATAGTTGGCCTTAATATTAGGTCGTCAAGAACTTAATGTCTCTTTTCTTTAGATGAAAAAACCCGAATAACTTATATATCAAAACAAAACATTTAGTAAATGAAATAGTTTCCATTCTTATTGATGATGCTTTTCCATCTTACAATCAGGATCTTAATGCCCTGATTAAAGAAATCACTTGGCTTTGA